ATTCCTCTTCCATGAGTCTACTCCGGAATCAGATTCTGTCGAGGAAAATGCCTCAGTGACTTGCAATGTTGTTCGCCCCTAAAGATGAACATGAAGCTCAAATTGAGTTTGCTCTTTCAGGCTCTGCCTTCTTCAACCGCTTTAACCCCTGTAAATAAAATTTAAAATCATGAGCAAAAATAACAATCAATAGTTTTTTTTATCAAACACAATGAATGTACCTTTACCTGATGTTCTGATTTTGAAGATGCAAAATTCATTGGTCTGTGTTTGGGCTTTAGAGATGACCGGTGTTTGAATCTATATATCTCCGAGTCAGAGTCGCTGCTGTCACTGTAATGACGGAGTTTGGAGATGCAAAATTCATTGGTCTGTGTACACTTTCTCTTGGGTGTTGAGTAACAAAATCAATCTTGCAATATGGAATGTATGAATTGTCTTCAGTTATTTGATACAATTTAGATAGCAAAACTTTGTCACTTGCGTATTTGAATTGAAGTTCAGCTTCGTTTGCAATATCTTTATTTGATACCATCACCTTCCCCTATGTATCAAAATGATATCTCATATTACGCTCCACATAAAGATCATTAAAATCTCCTATCACGTTACACAAAGCCCTTAATTCTTATCCTACTCTTATGCTTGCCTTCTCCCTCCCACATACTCCCACTAACATAATCATAAGAACATATTCTTGGGGAATCAGTCCATTGTTCGTTTTGTTGTCATCATCCCAACATGTAACATCAGTAAGTATTACAAAAGTTATTATTCAATAAGTAATGTGAAAGATCTTATCCTAGTCCATCTAGTTACATTTCATTACTCTGATCATGTTTTAAAAGTGTCGATTGAAGAAACATGAAACCCAATTTATGAAAATAAAGAAAATTTTGGTGTAAAGTTCGTTCCACAAGCCAACTCAAGCGGCTTAAACTCTGAACCAAATAAGTTGATATATATATATATATATGTATATATATATATATATATATATATATATATATATATATATATATATATATAACCAAATAAGTTAAAAAAGAGATAATTCCAGTGCACACAAAAGCTACATGAGTTTGTATTAAGATCATTGATTATGATGTTATAGAACTTTTATAACGTGCATGTAAGTGTAAACTGTGATTGTAGAAGTCGATAGAACTGTAAGGCAAGGAGGTAAATTGATTGTTGGTGATGAATCCTGCACAACAGGGGAAGTTGAAAACCTGTTGAAGCCACTACACTGTGCCCAGAAGTCAAGAAGAATTACTCAGTGCCCATAAGTCAACTTGGAGGCCCAACACATATGAAATGGCTTCATTATCTTTATTCATTCAGAGACTAGATATACAAATTGAGAAATTCTAATTTTTGTAAAGTAAATTGATTTTCACCAGTGTTGTTGCTTGATTAATATTGTCCAACTATAAAAAGGTGGAACAAAAGACGTAAATGCCCTTGTTATCCATAATCTTTTGTCCCAAAATTCATATCTTTTGACTGAGACTCGTGTCAATGGGACAAAACTAGCAATTTTTTGTCCCAGGCAGAAAGGTGGGACAAAAGACCTAAATTCCCTTTTGATTCAACACAACATGAAAGTAGTGTTTGTAGTAACTAAACTGTAAATGTTTGCTATCATTAACTAAAAGTAGATATTTACAGGTTTTGAAATGTATCAAAGGAATGGAATCGGTCAAAGGAATTGGAATTTGAAGAAATTGAAATGTGTCACGTGTTTGGTTAGAAGAGTTTGTAAGGAGAATGGAATTGAATTCAACTCCGTTCGTTTACCTGTAAATATCTACTTTTAGTTAACTAAACTATAAATGTTTGCTATATGATGGTATTGATTGTGTTAAATTCACACATATTGATTGTTTTAAAGAATGGATGAAAAATGATGACGTGTTATTAATATTCTAACTTTTAGTTTGCTATATGATGGTATTTATTCAAATTTTGTGACATATATGATCTATAAGAAAAACTCATCGATTGAAAATGTCACATGCATTTACGATAATGTGACTAAGAAGATCAACATATTCTTAAAATATTCGTAAAGGAAAAATCAATAGGTTGATTAGAGAAGTGTTATCAAAGTTCAACTAGGTGTTAGTATATATTAGTATGTTATATTGTTTGAACAGCTGAATATTATATATTAAATTGTCACTAGTAGGAAGCTATTGAAACAAAAGCAATTTAAAATCTGATCTTGAAGCAAAAATGGCCACCCGTCGTGAAGTTGTGTTTTCTATGCACAATCTAATTATACAAACATACAATAATATAATCAATGGATCTGGCTGCCACAAGACAAGGGTAAAATTGTAATTTTACCCTAACATTCCAATTGCTTCTAATTGTCCATCCAATTTTGCTTGATCACCAACAACAGCCTCCAAAGCCTCAATCAATGGATCTGGCTGCCACAAGACAAGGGTAAAATTGTAATTTTCATCCATATTTTTATTGATAAAATATTAAACTTGGAAGGTAAATTACTGTAATGTCCTTCAACGATAAGAATATACGTTCGAGTGAAAAATCTAACTGATGAACCTTTGCTTCAATGACCTACAAATAAGATATTATAATTATCGAGAAAAGTATAAAAAAATTATAAAATAATCTAATTAATATTTAACATATTTATATTATATAACACGAATCACACTTGCCCAATTTTAAAATAGGAAACCGGGTCCAAGGTATCATCCACCTACAAGGGCAATTACGTCTTTTAATCATGGGAAAAAATATTTTACTTTCGATAAGATAAAAACAAAATTATAATAATACCTCAATGAAAATCCCATAGTAAGTAATCTTTTTTATGCAACACTTTACAATGTCTCCAACGCTAAGTTTAGCCTACAAGAGTAGAAAATATTAAAATAATAATAATAATAATAATGAAAAATCATATTTTAAATATTAGCTTTCTCTTTTGGTTTTTCAGAAATATTAGCTTATTCGATCCTCTATCAGCAAGTCCACGTTGACTTTGACTTTCTGCATAAGTCAAACATCTTCAAATCGTTTCTAAATTGCAAGATGTTTGTTAACAAGATGAACAATTCAAACCTTACCAACAAATGAAGACAAGTATTTGAGTTTTTCTTGGTCATAAATTGCAAGAAGGTCCTCAAGTTTCATAGAAGGTCATAAATTTCACCCTCCATCTGCATAACTAATGCGTTGTTTGTCGCATCATAGAAGGGTCCTTTGTGGTGTATCCATTAATTGTCATGTTTTCAAACTTTAAGGGCAAGTAATATAATTTTTTTTACCAGTCTTATTAAGGGCAAATGGGTCAGATCACATGACCCAAATAAGTCTTCTTCCCCAAATCAGAGGTATCCGGATCAAATTTGTCAATCGCCGATCGCATTCCTCATTCCCCAAACTGTTTATCCATCGGAGCTCCTCTCACTCTCATTTGCTTGGTCGTTCACTGCCTGCTCCGTCAACCGGTAGATTTTTCTCGATCGTCTTCATCCCTACCAGGTAACATTCTTCTCTCTTCTTTTTGCTCCATTTTCTCTTTCTATCATCCAATGACTCGAAGGATAAATCATGCATTGTGAACGAATGACGATCTGTTTCATTCACTGCTTTACATTTCCACGATTGAATCATACATCAGTGAACGAATGATGATCATAGTTTTTAAATTGGGATTCTGGTTAGATATAGTAGCATTTTTGCTTGTTGAATTCGGAGTTTTGTTAATTAACCAACGATCATACACACCCGCACCTCATACTTGTCATGTGTAATCGTCAAATCAATGTCTCTTGGACTTGTAGCTATTTGTAGATATAGTAGTATTTGTTTTGGGAAACGCCAATTACCAAATTGCTAAATTGCTTTGAGATTGAACAATGTACACAGAGGTCCATTCAACGTGATTCCTGTTTCTCTCAAATGCAACTGATTTTTGATTCATCAGATGGATTGTCATTTTTACTTGAGCACTAATTCCAGATATAAGAGTAAATTGGTCATTCAATTGTTGATTCAGTCAAAAGAAACAATATTTGTTTATACAATACCATTAAACAAATATCATATATCTAGACTACACTTAATGATGAAAAAAAAGAAATAGGGCCTTAATGTAGATGAAAGCAAATAAGCAATGTTGATATTCACTCTTATATCACCAATGAACTTATTTCTTATGTTATCTATTTCATAAAATTTGTATCATTACATTGTTGAAACTATTAATTACATACTATTGTCTTTGTGCAGATACCACCAAGGAAAACTGCAGCATCCTACAGGTTCTTATCACAAGTTCTCAACCACTTCTCTTCCCTTCTGCATAAATCTGTTACTCATGACATTCAATGATAATTTTTCTGCTTAAACATCATGTACTCGTCTGTCTTGTTGGCTACAACAGACTACAGAGTATTATTCCACACATACAAAGTTAAACAATTTATTAGCCTTACATATATATACTTACAAATTGAAAAAGAATATTGAATAATTTCTCTTTTTCCCAAATGAAAAAAACTTAAACATAATTATGTGACATTTTGGTGTTATTCAAGTATCCCTCACCCTAAACTTCAATTATGTGCTGGATGGTGAGGCTAATTTTGGGCCTGAAGTGTTACTGAATTTATGCACTAAAATCACAAAAGCAGGTAAAAGAATTACGTAAAGTGCCCCTAGGATCAAGGGTGCCAAAACCAACCACCCCAACAACTGTAAAAAAAAGTTTAAAATGAATCATGCATTTGAAGGAAACGAGTTTCATGTGAAAATTTGTAGGGGTAAAATTGTAAATATGCAATGTACCTCTATTCTACTGTTGTCATCTAATCCAGAAACTTGAAATTCTACTGTTGGCATCTCAATTATATGAAATATCTTTATAATCAACATTCATAATATATCAATTAATGATTTTTCTTATTGGATAATGCAGGAGCTTGGATCTCGCATTGTTGATTCTTACAAAGAATATTATGAAAGTAGGTCTTTCTTTACCAACAAACAAACATGCATACACTTTTATACAAACCTTGTGATGTTTATGAAACAGTAACACAATGAGAAACATGTGGGAAAATGCAGGAAATTCACATGGTAGTAATTTTAATTGTAGTTTTTGTGCAACCATAGAAATCATTCCATTAGGGTTCCAGTTTTTAATTTGTTTTTCTAACTTTATTTTAGATAAAATTCAAAATATTTTATAGATAATTTTGAATTTTTGGTCCTATATCTTGTTTGTGTATTAACACTCTTGTTTAAAATGACCTCATTTCTTCTAGATGTATGGCATTTTGAATGCTATAATGAGCTAATGTGTATACTATCTAGACACTACTTTTTCCCTTCCTAACATTCATTTGAACTATGTTATAATGTGCTAAGTTGGTGAAGGGTAAAACGGACATTTATCATACTCAAATAGTCTTTATGTATGCAATATTAATTAAAGGCATGAACTGTTTAAACTTTTTCTTTGTTCCAGGTTCCAATCTACTCCACTCCAGTCCAATCCAATCCAATCCAATCCAATTCAGGTGATAACAAAACCATCATGTTTAAGTTTTGTGCTTTATCTTTTATACTTACTATGACATTGTAAATTGTTATTTTTTTCATTTTTAAATGCAAAAAATAGCAATCTACTTTCATTAAAGTATTTGCATTATACTTTTAGTTTTTGTATTTTTCAAAGTAAAAAGTAGGATGCTAAAATAAATAAGCAAACAAAAGTACATTGGTATTTTAAAGTAAAAAGTAGTATGCTTAAATTTTAGTAAGATATTTCTATAATATTTGTGATCTAACAGATTTATAACTTCCAAAGTTTTTTAAATTTCAGGGAAGATGTCACAGTTCTTATTAAGAGAGACATTGAAACGAAAGCAACATACAAGTGTACGTTTCATAAACAAACGCATCGATGATGCAAAATCTGTTGGTAATATATCTGCCCCATTATCTACACCAGCATTGTTGTCATCATCATCTCATACCACATTATCATCTGTTGGTACTGTATCTGTCCCAACATTTGTTTCACATGTTGGTGCCACATCATCAACACATGCATCATCCATACCTACATCATCCAACCAGTCATCCTTACCTACATCATCTACCCAATCATTTGTACCTACATCTATCCAATCATCTACACCTGCATCTACTACATCATCTGTACCTAGATCCACAACAAATTGTAGTGAATCGATTGAGGAAAATGTTAGCGTTCAACATCAAGGGTATTTACTTGGATCTACAGGAATGGATGGGCGTCTATATATTGGAGTGCGAGATAAGGAGTAAGTTAAAATTCTTACATTTTTATCAACATTGAGCTTCATGAATTTTACAATGCGGTTGATTTTTTCTTTTGTAGGTTATTTCCTTCGGGCCCATGTTCTTCCGTTGTCTATGAATCCTTTGGTGAAAGAGCTGATTTAAACGGGTATAGCTGGGCAACTTTAAGTGACGAGACAAAACTCCTTTATTGGAACGAGTTTCATGTATGTATCTCGTTTATGCAATTATTAGGTACTCATTAACTAAAAAACTCATCTATATATTTTGTATTGTAGAAAAAGTGTCATTGGGATGATGCAAAAACTCCGTTAGTCCAAGCTTGTTGGGAAAATAAGGCAAAGGAAAGATATAGACAATATATCTACAATATAAGCTCAAAATGGAAAAAGTCGACTATAAAAAAAACTGTTAATATAACATCAGAAGTGTGGACATACTGGACTGCAAGATGGAATACTGAAGAGTTTAAGAAGAAATCAGAACAAAGCAAAAAAAAATAGGCGTAGAGGTGTAGCTGATGGACAAGCCCTTTCTACGCATACCGGTGGATCGACTTCTCATTCCAAGATTGCTTCTGATTTAGTAAGTACTCATTTAATTTTATGTTATAGCAATCTACTTTCATTTAGAAATACCATTATCTAGTTCTATTTTGATTTTTATAAGGACTAAGCCTAAATGCATAAAATAGCAATCTACTTTCTTTTAGTTTTATATTATAGCATTCTAGTTCCATTTTTATTTTTGAAAGGACTAAGCATAAATACATAAAATAGCAATGTACTTTCATTTAGTTGTATGTTATAGTTTTTCTAGTTCCATTTTGATTTTTAAGAGGACTAATCCTAAAAAGTATGTTATTTTATTTTTCATTTTTAAAGAGTGGAGCCTAAATGCAAAAAATAGCAATCTACTTTCATTTACTTTTGTATCACAGGAATCTAGTTCCATTTTGATTTTTAAATGGGTTTAGCCTAAAAGTAAGTTGCTATTTTTTCATTTTTAAATATCTAAACCTAAATGTAAAAATAGCAATCTACTTTAATATTGATTTTTTTGTATATATGTAGAAGAAGCTTTGGGGACATGATCCAACACACCATGAACTATTCTTGTATACACACACTAAGAATCATGATGGAGTGACTTTTTTAGTTGGCAAAACTAAAAAAATTCATGTAAGTTTTATTTTTAATAATTTCATGTAAATTTTATTTTGATTTTTTTTGTATAAGCTTTATGTCAACACAATAATAAAATTATAGGATGATTTTATGGAACGATGTGATCGGTTGGAAGAAATAGGAGAGGAAATTGATGAGGACAAACTATTTTATGATGTTGTTGGGGGACATGATCGAAAAAAGAGATTATATGGATTTGGCTCATATGGAAAGCGCATTCGTTCTAGTAAAGGATCTTCTGAAATGCATCGCGAACAATACGAGGATAATAATGCCGACACAGAAGTCGAGATTGAGAATTTGAAGAAATTAGTGGAGACACAACGTGAACAATATGAGGATATTCAACAAAAATATGAGGATGTTCAGCAAAAATATGAGGATGCTCAGAAAAAGAATGTGGAGTTTCAGCAGAAAAATGTGGATGTTCAAGCAAAGTTTGAACAACAACTTGCACAAGCAATGAATGTCATTAACACATTGAGTGAACAGGTCAAAAATATTATTAATCAATGATAGAATATTATGTATCGAATAATGTTTTACGTTAAATTTGTAGCGACTTTTGATTTTGAAATATGTATCTTTTGATGTATTGGATATTTCTTTTTAGTTTCTATAGAAATACTTTGTTATTTTTGGTTTTATATTAATTGTATTTTTGTAAATTGATATAATAAGTCAAATTAAATAACCGAATTTTATAGAAAAAATGGTATGGAACGATTGTTATGGAATTGACTACAAAAAAGTTGTTACGAAATTTGCTACGGAATGAATGGCTACGGAATTTGTTACGGAACGAATGGCTACGGAAATTGCTATGGAACAATTAGTTACAGAATTTGCTATGGACCAAATGGCTACGGAATTTGCTACGGAACAATTAGCTATGGAATTTGCTATGGACCAAATGGCTACGGAATTTGCTACGGACCAAATGGCTACGGAATTTGCTACGGAACAAATATCTACGGAATTTGCTATGGACCAAATGGCTACGAAATTTGCTACGGAACAAAATAGATACGGAATTTGCTACAGAATTAATTGTTATGGAATTGTGATGGAAGTGTGATGTAGTTGAATTGCTACGGATAAACGTCGTAGCAACGGCCATAGCAAAATTGCTACGGAACTATAATTTCGTAGTTAAACATTTTGCTACAAGAAATCTTACTATGGAATGTCATTGGCAAATTCCGTAGCAACTTCCGTAGTTATTTAGGTTTAGCTACGGAATTACATCATTTTGCTACGGAATTTTTCCATAGTTAAATTGAAAGTTTCTTGTAGTGGTTTGCTGAAGGCATTCCATGTTCCGAGTCCGACGATCACGGACCGCTGACCATTCCTAGTTAGATTCTATCAAATCACGCTACTAAAGTGAGTGCATAGTTACTTTCATCTTACACACACACACACACACACATATATATATATATATATATATATATATGAAGTATTTATTATAAATTACGTGCTATGTGTGCATATTATCTGTGTTCCTGATATCTATGCTAGATGAACGATTTATACATGTTTACATGATTTAAATTGTATACGTATTTTTATACTTATAAATATATATTGGGTAGCGACAAGTGATGAGAGATAAGTGATTATAATTAGGTGATGATAGAAATGTGATGATAGTTAGGTGATGATAGATAGGTAATGATAAATAGGTGATGTGAGATGAGAGGAGATACAATAACCTTGACCGGCGATGTAGCGATGTAGTCATTTACCAGAGTATAGATGGCGACCACATACTATTCTAGACAATCATGTGGAAACACCAGCATGCTCATAACCTGTAGGTGATGAATTACGAGTTCATGCATTGTTTTAACTACGTATTCATGCGATGATACTCTAACCCTACTATGAATTACGAGTTCAGGCGATGTTGTAACTATGTATTCATGCGATGATACTCTAACCCCTACTATGAATTACGAGTTCAGGCGATGTTGTAACTACGTATTCATGCGATGATACCCTAACCCTTACTAGATACGTATTGAGGGAGTAATCCCAGAATCAGTACTGTCTATGCGATGTAGGCGGTGATCCTTAGGAAAAGTCCTTAGGAACAAACATATAAGGAAATGTGATGTAAGGAGATGAGAGGTAAATACGATATAGGAGATGACCCTTAGGATAAGTCTTTAGGGAAGATTAAATGAAGATAATGGGGATGTGTAATTGAGTTAATTGTTTGATGATTAAACATAATAATTATATTATTGTTGGTTGAAAACCCTATATACTCAACAGGTTTCCCAACCCGACCCACTCAGTTTATTTGTATCACATGTGTCGATACGAAGCTACATTACATGAAAATGATGTGTGAAGTGTTTGTCTTGATAAAGAATCCGTACTATCTCTTGAATATTTGGCAAGTGAGTCTTATGTGTCGAGAGGACAGTGGGAGTCTTAAAGATCTTGAGAAAGCTTCTAGATCTTATCAAGAAGGAAAAACCTATAGTTTATCACTAGCTCACGACTTGAGGTTTATAACCTATCATGTTGACATATTTCTATTTCTATGCCCATTCCAGTGAAAGTTGGCTTTACATATGAGTTATGAGAGTTCTCAATTGGTTGCATAACAACTTGGAAGCAATGGCAGGCCCTTGTGCTGCCAGGTGGCAAGAAGTTAAGACTGCACAAGTTCAATCCATAAGAGTTTGGACTTGTCACTAACCTTGTCTTGTGATTATGGTTATGACAAATTCACATGGATAGGAACACATACACCATAAAATCTAAAGTCTCATAAGGTTTCTCTCCGATTCATGAAAATGATGGTGAGGAAACGCTTCCACTAAGTAGATTTTAAGTAGATAGAAATTATGATATTTGCATTCTCAAAGTTGTGAGTGCAACGTGTGTGGTTAACCGAAACACTAACATGGACTTGTGAGAAATGGCAAAGGTCTAAACAATTAAGACTATGATTACGACATCCCTTTTCATAGTTCTGAAATTGTTTAGACACACATGTGTGCTATCTAAGGAAAGGTGTATGATTTTGATAAAGTTTTATCAAAGCATGTCGTATCAGAAATATGAACTTTGGTAAGAAGGTCAACAAAGTATTGATTTCTAGAAGTCTAGCTGATTTCTAAGTACATGTCAAAGCTAGGGGGAGCATAAGCTTCATGCTAATAATCATCATGCAAGTGGGAGCTTGATAATTATAATAAGTGTTGCAAGTTAGCAATGTTAATTATAGAAAACAAAAGGTTTCAATTGGGAAAAAGTTGTTTTGCTATAATTAAGGGAGAGGAAATTATACTTCACTTCAATTCTAAAAGCTTAGATTCAGGTTTTAATCATATTTAGTCAAGGATATATATATATGAATTTCATGTTGGAATGGCTCAACATAAGGAAATTCTATATATGGGTCCATTATTACTCATGTTGGAATGGCTCAACATAAGGAAATTCTATATATCGGTCCATTATTTGCGCTCTAAAATTCGATTATGATTACGGCATCCTTTTTCATAATCTGAATTATGAGAACTTGGCAAATAGAAATAGAAATATTATAGCAAAAGACTGGTCTAGTATCATGTCTTTATGAATCGTGTCCCATATGCTTCGGATATAGGATCGATTGCATGTGATATAATATTCATTTGTTCTAAATTTTTCCAAATGCCCGGAGCATTAAGAGGGAAAAAAATACTAGAACTAGATATGACTAATTTGATTAAGCAATTGTTGAGGACAATCTAAGGTTTACCAAAGATTGGTTGCTCAGGGACAGTTGGAAGTATAGTGTTAATTTTGGAAAGACCATATTGACATATTCTGAAAAGAGGCAACTCTTGTTCAGGATTAATAGTCAAAATGTGAATATGGAAATATTCCCATTGGTGGAAGTTATTCATTAAATTTGTGTAAGATTAGGAAACTTAATGCAAGAAGAATGTTCAAAGCAATGAATTTTAAATATGAGACTTCGTTTTCATGGAGTTGTAATGTCTGTTGACAAGTCTTTCTGACTTTGTGCATAATCATTACAAGAGGACCAATGCATATAAGTTTAGAATCTAACAGATTTAGGTAAATGGCAGGTATTTGGAATTCTTGCATTTGCGGTAAGGATTTGGGATTGTGAAATGAGTATCATTGGAATTATGTTCAATCGATCTATTTCACAGAGTAAAGATCATAGACAAACTTAGTGTGCATACTTGGTGTATGGCATAACTAATATTTGGAAAAACATAGTGTGCATACTTGGTGTATGGCATGACTAGTGTTTAGGAAAAAAACCATAGTGTACATGCTTGGAGCATGGGACAACTATTGTTTTAATTCAAGTATAAAGTTGATAGTTTGAAACAGTATGCAATGAATAATGTGTAATCAATATGGTGATAAATAAAAGATGTTTTATTTATATTCATAAGTTCTGAGACCATATTTGATTCGATTATTCTTGTGTTTCACTTTGCATGTTTTGACTTCCAGAATAACTAAGTCTCTCTTCCTGAATGACTAAGTTATTCAAACCATCCACAGTCGGTCATATGTTGGAAGTAGATATGAATCAAGACTGTCATGGGTTGGCTTGTACAGGTCTAAGATGTTGGACAAAGTGGTGCTACAACACTCATGAGTGCTCATAAGTTCTGAGTATTGGATTCAACCCACGCTCACTGGTATCACTTCATGGAATTTATCTCGAGTGATCGTGAGACGGTAATATAATATAAGTCTTCAAACCTAGAGATATGACTTGTTGCCTATGAGTTGGTTATACATTGATTATACGTAAACGCATTGGTAACTCGATGTTTTAAAACATGCCTTTGTGTATGACTCAACAAGTAGTAGAACAAGCATATGCGTCGAAGTTTATCTGTTCCTTCTTGGATTAGAAGCGATATCTGGGCCCCTAGATGATTTTGTGTTGACCCGTGTACCGGGCCCGGTCAGAACTAAGTTGATTTGTTCAATTAAGTTCTATGTCAAACAAATTGGAAATCGAGAAATAAACTGCTGGACAATAAGTAAGACATTGTTCCATGTATTTGTCTGGCTGATATCTAGAACAGAGGATGATATGATCCCTTATCTTAAATGGCGTATGAGCATCATCTCTGTTCCGCGAGACCTTGAAGGAGCTACGATTGTTGATCTGTTCCTGAAGTTATTCTTGCAGATATAGTTATTAGACTTATCCAAGTGGGAGAATGTTGGATTAGGTGTCTAAGTTCATAACTATTTCTGGAATATACTTGACCCGATTAGCATGGTCCATTTGGGTTGCATGACATCATGCATTTGGATAGACCAAAATGAGAGAAATAACACTTAAGGTTTATTAATATATTATAAGTTCTAATATATTAATAATATTATTTAATTAGTATTGATCAAAGAATTAATTTGAAATTAATTAAGTGATCAAAAAGAGACTAATTAAATATATGGGTTGATTGTGTAAATCACCCATACTTGTATAGTGGGCTAATGCTCCATGG